TTTGTAAGGTTAAGTATTTTGTAAGGTTAAGTATTTTGTAAGGTTAAGTATTTTGTAAGGTTAAGTATTTTGTAAGGTCAAGTATTTTGTAAAGTTAAGTATTTTGTAAGGTTAAGTATTTTGTAAGGTTAAGTATTTTGTAAGGTTAAGTATTTTGTAAAGTTAAGTATTTTGTAAAGTTAAGTATTTTGTAAGGTCAAGTATTTTGTAAGGTCCAACTTTACAAAATACTTGACCTTACAAAATACTTAAAATACTTAACCTTACAAAATACTTGTAAGGTCAAGTATTTTGTAAGGTCAAGTATTTTGTAAAGTTAAGTATTTTGTAAAGTTAAGTATTTTGTAAAGCTAAGTATTTTGTAAAGCTAAGTATTTTGTAAGGTTAAGTATTTTGATTTTCACAACATAACTATTCTTTCATTCTTGATGGGGATCTTTGGGTGAAGTTGATACAAAAAAGTGTCTAGGAAAAGTTACTACAAAATCTTTAAATCTTCATGGTTAAAGCATGTTAACTGGTAATAAGGTAACTAGGAATAATTTGAAGGAAGTCGTCATTTCACACTCCGTATGGTGCTAGTCAGAATATAATTAAGAAAAGACATTGAGTGAAGAGCTACCATGATGATTCTGGGTTTGAAAGGGAAGGTTAAATATCTTTACATGTTTTTACTGGACAGAAGGTGTCAGTGGGAATAATTGATATTCTTTTAGCTTGTTACAAGTTTAGAATCTGTAAACCTTTCTGAATATTTCTAAGAAATTAAAAACAGATTAGACTTGAATGAAATATTTATACCTTGCTTAGGAAGATTCTGTTTCTCATCATGTAGATCTAGCTCATAAGCCAACCTTTAGTGTATGTATCTAATCAGGCTATGCCAACTACGTTATTAGTGGCTGTGCATTTATAACATCAAGCTGTTAACATCATCACAAAGCTTGAGAAAGCTTACTGAGTACTGGCCATTTTTACTACATTCTGGTGCACAGAAATACTATTAGAAATTTAACTTTTTAAATTACGCTACTGAATATTAGTCCAAACATTACAAAATTATATTGTTCGTGAAGATGTTCACGTTCTTGACGCAAACCTTTGGATGTGATTTTTGCACTAACTTCCTGAGTAAAAACTATTGGAACCGCGTAAAAATTATAAGTTAAATACTTTTATTTTGTTTTACTAATACATACCACTATCAGTAAAACATTAGCTAGTACAATAGTAGTGGTAGTACTCCTAATAGTTTTATGCTACATTACCATTACTGTTACTAGCTTAATAACGAAGTGTAAGTTTAAAAAACCACCACAAAACTTAAAATTTTAATTTATTATTCGTCACTGTCTTGTCTACCATTACTCAGCATTAGTATTACTAACTTTCGATTTGATTTTGATGCTAATAGTAATATCAATAAATTGTCCATAAAATTATAAGTTTACTCACATTTTAAATGAGTTTTCTCAGCTTCTAAATCAATATCAGGATTGTATCTGGCCCACTTCTGTGTGGAAAAAGATAATTATCACATCTAAGTTCTACTTCTAGCAAACATAAACATTCATCGATTTAAGACAGTTATCGTACATTCGGGAAAGATAGTTCTTTAATTTAACAAAGAGGGCGCTGTAAACTGATAAATTGTGTTTGATGTTTTAAATTATCAATAATTACTTTTGTTTAAACCATGAGGCAAGTTTACTAAGAAAAACATAATATGTATTATTATTATAATAAAAATGCATTATTTTTATATAAATAAACGAAGATGACAAGTTTCAAAAAGAAAAATTCCTGCTTCATGTTTACTTTTCGTTTACCATTTCAAACTTTTAAATGTCGTAAACCTATGAAAGGAAGGAATTTCGTAATAGCTTTTCATAAACCTTTTTATTAAATAACATAACTTTTTCAGAATGTAAGTTTATTTTGGAAATTAACTGTTGCTTTCAGACATAACTTAAAACCTTCTGATGTATGTGTTGTTGTTATTTCATGTATATTCTGAGGTTATTGACCAGTAGGTCCAGTGAGAACGTGTACGTGAAGCATAGAGAATGTCTTTAATACGTCCCTCAGGAGCCAGTGAGTTTCTTTAGACTACAATTTATTGAATATTAAATATAAGTTCAATCCGGGAACACCCAAAGAAGTTGATTTTAGATTTATCTTTTCGAGACAAGTTTTCGTTTGTTAATTTATAAATTTTTAAGTGAAATACAGCATCCTCAAGTCTCTATACTAGCTAGTACTAAGGTCTACCCGCTGGGAGTATATTTCAATAAAGCCACATTCTCAGCATTATTAATTAAACAATTGCCAACCTGTTATGCTTCTGCTATCACCTTTTTATGTTTAACTTTCAACTGAGATACGAACGACTTCACCTGCGATTCGGTAGGTCACAATAGTCAGCAGTAGGATGAGCAGACAGGAACACTTTGAAAGCAGCTACAGGCATAATATTGTACTAGGCTTGCTGCGCAATATCTACCAAGGTAGTTCTAAACGGTTCCTGAATACCTCTGCATGTCATTTGGAGACTTCCATGCTTCTTGTGCTTGGCCGTTAAGTTTGTGATGCGCTGACGGATTTCAATTACCTTACCACTTCAAATCACTTTTCGCAGCCCCAACGCTAAAAGAAAGCTGAAAACTCCTTCTCTTTAGCCAGTTATGAAATCGATCATTTACAAGCAATTGAGAAATATAATGGTGATTGACACATTGGCATGACATCCCCCCTCCGGTGCTAGAAGTAAATTTACGGACTTACAACGCTAAAATCCAGGGTTCATTGCCCCAAAGTGGACAAAGTACGGGTGGCATTATGGGTTTTGCGCTAAAAATGCAACAGCCACAACAAATCTGACTGACATAGGGTCTTCTTAGAGTTGAAAACATCAAGCAACTATTCCAATTTGTCCATGAAAATATAAAGTAATATTTGAATAAGGTGACACATAGGAGACGGCTTAGGACTTATTGAGGCAGGAGATGGATGAGCCAGTTGGTTTGATAGTTGTTTGGTTGGTAGTAAGGAAAATGTTATAAATAGGGTGAAGTCAGAGTGGATTAAGGTTAACTTTAAGTTTCTCTACTAGGTCCTTTACTATTTCTCACTTTTATTGACGGTTATAAAATTTAATTAAAGTACAAACATAAGAAATGACATCAGAGTTTGATGTCTGACTTTAAGAAAACACAGGGATGTCAGCAAAAGTGATTTTGTCTATCAGATGGGGTTAAGTACAAACAACAATGGTAATAGCTGGTTTATTATACCAGATGGCTTTAAGAAAAACAGCAATATCAATAAATGTAGGTTATTACCTACCAGATGCGACCAGAAAGGTCAGTCTAATTTATTTTCATTCTTTAGTTACCTATTGTGATGGTTTAAATCGTTTACAAAATGTTAATAATTTCAATTATTAGGTGAATATAAAATAGACATTTGTTACGGTAGTACTTTGTATATTTGTTTTAGCATAAAGCTACACAATAGACTATCTGCACTCTGTCCACCATGAGAAATCTAACTCCGAATTTTAGCGTTAAAAGTCCATAAACTTACATGACCTCCTAGAGAATACACTGTGATGCAAAGAGCTTTTATGACACTTGAAAGAAAATCATTTAAATATAAATTAAATCTCACAATTTCAAGAGAAGATAATGTCTTTAGCGAAGTTAACAACATTAGTGCTCTGTGATTGCCTTGCAGTGATTCCCTGCAATGGACACAGCAGATAGCTTTAAAACAAACAAACAAAATAAGCCTCCCAGTGGCTTTGCAATAAGTTTGCAGATTTACGACACACTAAGAATCTGGTTTTGATACCGTGGTGGGCAGAGCACAGACAGCCCATTGTGCAGCTTTGCGCTTAAACAACAACCAAATCAAACCCTGTGATCTTGGCCATTACACCAGAACGTTCTGACAAAACTTTTATCAACGTGAAAATACTAGAATAATTACTTTTATTTTTTGGGTACTTTTTGTAATGATCATTTTTCAAGATATATCTTCGTTGGTATTAACTCCGAAAAACAGCATAACTATATCACATAGAACTTGAAGTATAATTAACCAAGACACTTACTGCTGAAGAAACATACTTATCTCTGGACATCAAGCTTCGTAATACACATAGAGTATCATCTTTTTGATTTTATTCTATTGGTTTAATTATTTATTTTTATTTTGTAAGTGAACGCTTTTTTTAAAAACGCGTTTTTGAAAAATATATTCTTTGGATATTCTAGAAAAAAGAACCAAAAGGGAATACTCAATAGCCACGGTACTTGAAATTCTTTCAGGCTGGATTATAGCAAATTAATCTATGAGACCTTTAATGGTTGGAGACGGCTTGAATGGGTAATGAAGAAAACTTTAATATAAGTTTAACATAACAGCAAATGTACAACGTTTCGACAAGGTTTTGTCATCATCAGATACAAGTAATTTACACAGACACGGATATATATATACAGATTGAACAAAGAAGTCACATGACCGGAACTGTTGTGAAACTTAGAAGAGGTATCTTGGCATCCCGGGGTGTTGGTTTAGAGTAGGGTTGTTTTGTTCAGTTAAGATGGATTTCTTGATTTTTTTCG